TCCTTTCACTATTTATTTGGTGAAACACCAAAAATAAAACAATGGTAGCTTATAAGTAACTTGAACCTAAACGTGAATATCCAATAATAAAAAAATCATACTCGAAATCTAATATAAAGGAGAAAGTTGTAATCTAACTTTGAAATCAAGTTATCTATTAGCAAATTCTTTCATTTGATTATTTAGGTTTATTTTGTGTGTGCGTGTGTATTATATATATATTATATATATTATATATATATAATATATATATAATACACACGCACACACACAGACTTTTTTTAGTCTAAGATCATACTCTGGCTGAAAAGAAAATCACCACTCTGCAAAAAGTGACTAATAATAAATGTCAAAAATGTACATTATCAAATGTCCCCGAGATGCAAACATTAAGAGCAGGAGGCATCCCACATCTCGGCTGCTACTCACACTGGGGCACGGGGACCTGTATATGGAGGAAAAGTCCCTTGGTTCCTAAATGGGGGAAAGAGGCAAAAATCTCCTTGCTGTCTCAATGTGAAGAAGGAAAAAGCAGTCCCCCGCTGCTGATTCACCAAAGTAGGAAGAAGAGGGCCCTCTTTTAACTAACCTAGCAAAGAACACAAGAGTTTCTCAGCAGAATGATGAGTTATAAAACTCAGAGTTAATCAGCTTGCTGTGAGTTAGCCCAAGAACCTAACCTCTATTTCTATCTCTATTTCTAAGAATATCAACGAGTTCCAAACAATCGGTTTATACAACTTTCTAATGCAACCTGTTTTTAGATTAAAACTCTTAATCTTCCTGACTGGCAATAATAAACCTCATCATCACCCATTCAAACAAACGGTTGAAAGTACAAGTATTAATGACTGTTGTCTATTTACCGACAACAGTCATTAATACTTGTGGCCCAAGCATAATATAGACACATGCATTTTTCTCCCACTGAGGAGAATTTGTATTTTTGTTCTCCGAGACTAATTAAGGAAGATGATTATATAAACATAGGATTAAATTGGGAGGAAAATATGGAGACTAGTGAAAAAATCTGTTTTCATTAGATAACATTTTAATTAAATAGAGCTAGGCTTGAATCAGGAACTGGATAAACCATGAAATTATTATAGCTATTGCTCAAGCTAGTAAAGGTAACTTGAATTAATCAAACCGATTTAGCCTGAGCCTTGGTTTTCTTATCTGTAAAATAACGCTCTGCAGGGATGATATGAGAATTAAATGAAATGAAGTATAAACAATGCCCAGAACAAAACACACAGTTGACTTCTAATAAGCATTCTTCCATAGTTGCTCTTCGAAGCCATTCTTTACTCTCTCACAAAACTATACTGTTTAGGAGGTTTGGGTATTTAAGTAGCAAATATGCAGAGTATAATCATAAAGTAATGAGACTGATTGTTAAATAAACATACCAAAATTTACATTTCAAATAAGTGTTGTTCCATTCAAAGAAGTCGGCTGGGAGTAAATACAACTCATTCCGATGATACAGTCACTGTTCAAAACAATTTTGAAACTCTGCTTTTGTAAGGGCCCTCACCAGCTAGCTAGAAGCTGCATGCACAATAAGTCTCATTACTCAAAGTCATGGTGCGCGCGCGCGCTCGCTCGCTCGCTCTCTCTCTCTCTCTCTCTCTCTCTCTCTCTCTCTCTCTCTCTCTCATCCCTAATGGTATTGCTCAGTTTGATCTCCTACCTATTTACCAGTCTCAGACATACATGTCGCCGAAAGATTTTGAAGCTTTTCTAAAATGACATCTATCCTCAAAAAAAGAAAGTTTGGCCACTGTTCATTAAAATAAAGAGAGGTTTATCAAGGGCCTCCAGGTGTCTACATCCTAGGCCAGGTGCCAGGAATACAAGGTGAAAAGAACAGTCTCTACCTTTCAGGATGTTCAAAAGAATTTGTCACTGGCTCTGAAAGCCAGTCCCATAGGAGAGAGCAAACAAGTGTTGAGCAACGTCAGCAATTATACGGCAGCAATAAATGCTCTTCCAAAGCAACCACCTCAAAGTGATACCACTTTTTAAGTTCTGCCATATTTATCAGAACTTCTCACCTTATATTTATACTTAATATTAGTTTGATTTTACATGGTTCCTGCACTTAATCTTAATAGCAAGTAAAAAAAAATACACCGTATAACACAAAAACTTGAGAAAATTGTAAAAACCACCAATAGTGTCTAAATTTGAATTTTTCACATGATCAATAATAAATATATTTCAGCTGACCAATCAGAGAACAAATAGAGTAGCAGTCATTAAAATGTCTAAACTAGGAGTTAATTTTTTTTTTGTAAAGGGCCAAACATGTTTTAAGGTTTGTTGACCATACAGTCTCTTTTACAATTACTCAACTAAGCTGTTGAAGCATAAAAGCATCCACGGGTAATAAAGAGGCAAATAAATGGGCATGAATGTGTTCCATTCACTAAAATTTTATTTCCAAAAACAGACAGCAGGCCAGATTTGGCCCACAGGCTATGTAGTCTGCCAACCCCTGGTCTAAATGGAATGCAGAAGCTCTAAGCATTCAGAGACCCACTGTCTGTGTCTGGAGTCGGCATACCAGGTTCAAGGTCCAACTGACAGAGGTACTGGGAAGTATTCAACGTAACAACAACCACTCGGTGCTTAAGAATATCTTCTTTCTGTGGCATCTGAAAGGTGGAATGTGCGCTTGAGATCAAACAGTACTGATGCACAACTGGGTGAACAGTCTTTACCCAGCGATTTCTGAAATATACCCTATAAAAGAAGACAACATTTCCTATTTATATTTATTAATACTTTACCAGTACTCGATTATCAAAATATCGACATTATTATTTTAGACTACAATATGTGGAAATTAACAAATAAATCTGATAACTGTTAACATTCTACTAGATTAGAATTTAATAAACTGTGACTTCTCCCACCAAAAAAGGTCCAAACAGAAAGCAGATGCACTACCATAAAATAAATATCTAAAAATTTTTGATTTCGGATTGATCTCACAATAGAATGACAACAAATACTTTCATAAACATTACAATTTAAGTTCAAAGCATTCCCATTTGGGAAGTTTTTTCCTAGAAAATTCTCCCAAAAATATATTTAATTTCTATTTTAATTATGCTAATAGTGAATTGCATATTTAAAATAGAAATTAAAAAATTATTTGCAGTTCACTTTAGAATATATTCTTATACCTATCTTTAAATAGACCTCTATCTAAGGTTCTAGAAATTTAAAAATAAATATCAATTTTGGACAATCAGAAAATCTTAAGAAATAGGATATCTTCCATTAATTGTAAAAGAAAAATATTAGCAGGCTTCGTGCAATAGATCACTAAGACAGCAGAGAAACAAGCTACCCATCTATCCACCCTCCCACACATCTCTAACCAACCCATGTAACAAAATCCTCCGGGTGTCTACTCTGCTCCAGCAGAGGCAAATCACATGGCCTGCACACTTTCCTAACAGCTTTAGATTTACTATGATTTTAATGGAAAACCATGAGAGAGTTCTCACAGAGCCGTCACATGGCAAACATGACTTATGTTGTTAAAGGACCACTTTGTTTCTCTTGTTTGGCGGAGTGAGGAGTGGACAGTGGCATGTTGGTAAATGTTGAACTCTGGGGTGGAGGTAGGGGATTTGTAGTGTTTGCTGATTTCTGTGGTATAAAACCTACTACAGCCAATTTCAAGCTACCAACATGATGTTGCTGAACATGAACTTGGGAAGACATGCAAATGACTGGCTCTCACAAGCCAGTACAAGCTGGCTGCAACACCCACTGGCTGGAACAGAGGCAGGAGCAGGGTACGGGAGCAAGAAGCCCAGTTAGGAGGTTGTTGTAAGGGTCTGGACAAGAAAAGATAATAGGGTGGTAACAGTAGAGATGTGAAAATGGTCAGAATCACTATACACTTTGAGAGTAATGCTGATAGGATTTACTTATGAACTAGATGTGGAACTAGATGTAGAAAGGATGATTCCATGCCTTTGAAAATAGATGAATGCCACAAAGGTGTTAAAAAGGGGGAATAAATCTGGGGCGGGAATTGAGAATGCAGTTTTAGACATATCTGAATAAACATCAAAGTGGAGATGTCCAAAAACAGAGGGATATATAAGTTTAGATTTCAGGAGAATGCCCAGAACAAGAAATATACAAATGGAATAATATTTAATCCTTAAGCCTCGACGAGATTACCTGGAGGATAAATGCAGATAGAAAAGAAACTAGTTGGAAGAATGACTGATGGACCACGGCAACATTTAGAGGCTGGGAAAAGGAGAGGGATACAGCGAAGGAGCAGTGAGTGACACAGGAAAGAACTTAAGAGAGTGTGTGGGTCCAACCAAGGGAAATGAACTTCATGTCATTACATCACGTGGACATTTTTCTAGGCCCATCAAGTTACTTATTAACAGCATCCAATTCTGTGGCCCCTCCCTCCTTGAAACACTGTCTTCTCTCAGCTTCCATGACTCAGCCTTCCCCTTCTTTCCTTCTCTCTCTCTGGGTTAGGGTTCCCAAGGCTTAAGACTTCGCCCCCTCTTTTTTCAAGCTCTTTTCTCTCCCCTGGCAATCTCATCAAGGCCCGTGGCTTCAACTGCCACCATTACCCTAATGACTCACACATTTTTCTCTCTCCAGCCACGACCTCACCTCTGAGCTCCAGGATGTGTATCTAACTCTTTATTTAGCATCTATCTCCTCTAAGATATTTCAAAGACAGCTCAAATGTAAAATGCACAAAAACTAATCTCAAATCTTCTAAAATGTGTTGTAATCCTCCACTAAACACTTAAAACTGGCTGTCTTCTTTTAAGCAAAGTAAAATGAAAAAAAGTATATCATAAATATCTCTAAATATAAATTATAATAGAGGAAGGTAAAAAAATGTATTTTAAAACATTATTATAAAAGCAAAGACTGTAAACTTGGTGAAAGTAACCAATATCACTTCTAAAAGATACAAAAATTTTAAATATATTGTCTATGGCCATGCTACTCTGAACAAACCTGATCCCATCTGATCTCGGAAGCTAAGCAGGGTCGGGCCTGGTTAGTACTTGGATGGGAGACCACCTAGGAAAGACCAGGTGCTATAGGCATAAAAAAATTTAAAAAAACTAAGGGATTGTAAGCTGACAAAGTCCTTGCAATCTGTGAGGTCAACCAAGGGTTGTCTCGCCTAACAATAAGTAAATAAATAATAAATAAAATTTTAAGCATGTTTTAGGTGTTAATAAAAAATGTTAAGCAGATCGGCAAAGCTGAATTTATTTTAAATATATGAAAAACCTCATTTTACAAACTATCTGAAAAAATCATTTACAAATTATAATTCCATTAATATTAACTAATATATGTGTATTTAAGCATATAAATTACTAGAAATTAACTCCAAAATGTTAGTAGTATTAACTCTGGCTGATGAGATTATCATTTTTATTTTCTTCTTTATACTTTTCTATATTTTCCATATTTTCTTATATAAACATGTCATTGTAAAACTGAAAAAGTGATTTAAGTTATTTATTAAATCTGACTCCAAGTACTGCTTCTTCCTCAAAGAAAAAATAGAAATTGAAGTTCTAAGTCTCACTACTAACTTTTTAGTAATCACCTTGGAAAGCTACCTCAAGTTGAAGCTAGTAAGAATAAAAAGTTGATCATTAGGTCTATGCTTCCTTAAAAGTATAATATTCTAGGCTGACTTCAAAAAGATTTAAATACTTTCTCGGCACTTTAGTTTTGTGCAACTTTTCAGGTAGACACTATCTATAAGATTATTTAAAACACATCCAAGAACATCTCCAAAACTGGACACTTTCAAGCTCAAAGTATAAAATGTGACACCAACTAAGTAATTTACATATTTTTAGAAACAAACCCATCCACATATCTCACATGAAGTATAATGACACTTAGCATGAAACTGACTGGTAATATAACATTTTAATTCACTTAAGTTTTACTCATGTATTGAATTCATATGCCAAAAACTCCAACAAAAATGTTATTACTTATGATACTACACAATCAGAAAGACATAATCCCAGAGGAAAATGTTTCTTTAAATATCTATATAAAACAAATAATTGCTTTATATAGTTGCCCAGAACACAGTAAATACGCACGTTCTCCATAGATAATCTTTAATCTACTAAGTGGCAGATACTAATCTTCAGAACCATACACAGAAACTGGGTTTTCCTCTCTATTCCATTTTTAAATCTTCTAATTCTAAGAAAGAAATAAAAACTGAAACTAAATGTAATCTAAAATGGTTTCTTACAACCTCCAACTCCAAATATTTTAAGCTTGACTCCTGGCATCTAATAGAATTTTATACACTTTAACCATAAGTATGCATATTTTAACATATTTACTTTATTATTAACTATATAATATTATATAGTTATATAACATTATTAACTATATAATATTTATGACTATTTTCACACTTCATCGCATTTACCAGAATCCACTCTAACCTACACTGTGAAGAAGGCAAAGTCCTCCTCAGTCTTACTCCAGAGACACCACACTCCCTGGGTCACAGGCAGACACTCAGTGCCCTCTTGTGTTCCTTCCCCTGCATCCTGGGACAACTCTCCCTAGAGGGCACAGCCATTCCCATCTTCTCCATTCCATCTCCCAAGCCTCGCAAGTTTATCGTCCATTAGAAAAAAATTATAAATCAATCTGAGCTAATGTGATAAGAGATGGTACTAATAAATCCTAACATTTCAATGCACTAATCTTTGTAGGAAATACATTCACAAGTTAACGCCTTTCCCAAAGAGAAAAACTGCTGTGAAAATGTAGACTCACACAAAAAAAAACATTTGGGGAAGTCAAGCTTTTTCTTATTTTATTCTATTCACTAAATGAAATAACATAAAATTTGTATCTAAATATATTTAAATATTTTTCCATCTTGACTGAACCACTCCTGCAATTTGTGGAGAGGTGAGATTTTCAACCAGAGGGCCAGTTCCTGTATTTGGGCCACTACAACTATACATATACCTTGATGGAACATAACTTCTTATTCTACATATTCAGATGCACTACATGTGAAATTATAACCCCTAAAACATAATTTTACCTGGGAAAGCTAAGCATAATGCGAGTCAAATGATGGATTTTAATGTTTACCAACAACAGCTTTACTGCCCCAAATGTCAAATGACCTACGCTAGGTTGACCAAGACTTGAAGAGCCTTTACTTGCACTGTTTCCAAGCCAAATACACCATGGTTATTGAGACTGCCATGATTCCTACATCACACACACACACACACACACACACACACACACACACACACACACACACAAACATTAACACCCATACACACGCTCAGTAAAGCAAACAAAACAAACATCTCCATTAAAGTAAGAACACTCATAGCAAAACTGCTACTAGCTTTTCAATTTTCACTTAGGAGCTAAAGATGATTAAAATATGAAGCAAACTAGTCATCGATAAATTTATCCACTGGCAAATACCACATTTTCATTTATAGTGATTGTACACATGTGATATTTTCTTATTAACTACAACTAAATTCTACTGAAATAATTATTTCTGCTCTAATTTTCCAGAATGAAAACAAAGTATGGCATAAAACCCATGTTAACAGATCATGCCATTTTTTTCTCTTTCGCCTTTTTTAATGCAACTATAAAATCATTCAAATGGCTTTGGTTATAGTTATTGAAGAATTAAATAGCAAAATCTCATTTTTTTCATGTCTAGGCTCAACTAGAAATAAAGAGTTAGTGAATTATGATTCAAAAGTGTGGTTAGAAATTAATTTATAAACAATAATTGTATTCAAACAACATAGCGCATGACATATTAGTTTATAAAATGGCAAAACCAAACATTAATTCATATAACAATGAAAGCAAATGGTATAATAAACAACCATTTAATGATTCTTTATTGTTTTCTGAAGAAAAGGATTTTATTCTCCCACGATCCTACATTTAAGCACATTTCATGTTCATCTACACTGAAAGGACCTTTCTATATCGACCTAAAATTTTCTTTGATTCTTTGTCTTTTAAAAGATACTAAAAAGTTGTAAAGACCAGTCAGTTACATTTTAGTGCAGAAATCACTTCAATACCTCATGTTTCTCTAATGTATGGCTTTTATGAAATTACCTACATCACAGTCAGAATCTTATTTCCATAAAAAACAATCACTGCATGACTACTCTGTCACGTAAAATAAGCTAGAATTTTAAATTTTACGTAATCATATTTATATTACTTCATCATAGCAGCTTTTAGAGGTACACATCAAAATCAGCTCAGACTATAAAAACATTTTTACATACAAAACTTAAAAAAGGATGTCTTTCTCTTTACTTAATGTTTAAGAAGTAAATGGTCAAAGATTTTTCAATTTTTCCTTAATAATGGTTTCTTCACAAGGCATAACTTCCAAATGTCAATGCAGAGTTAACAATTTTGGTATTCTTGAAGTTACTAAAATCTTTACAGACACCTTTTCTTAAGAATAATAAAGTATGATACAGATACATAATAAGCCTTAAAAATACCTGAGAGGTCTTGCCTGGGGATTGCCTGCTTCTACATATGGATGTAAATAATCCTTTATGTAGAGATCAGCAGCACTATTAGAATGGGTGCAAATGAGAATC